AGAAGCACCTGGCTCCTAGCTTCGGATTGGTGCAGCACCAGCCATAGTGGCCATTTTGGGGGGTGAACCAATAGAAGGAAGATCTTTTCTCTGCCTCTCTCGCACTAACTCTGCCTGTCAAAAAAAAAAAAAACCAGGGCTGCTGCTCCTGCCTCCACAGGATGGTTCCACCCCACTGCTGCCTACTTGCCTGGAGAATATTTCGGGATCCTTAGTTTTCTTTGTCTGCGTTGCCTGCTCTTCTTCTTTCTTCACCACTGGCTCAGTGGGGGAGTCATTTATCATTTGCTAATCAGGAAATTGTATTCCTTTCCTTGCTAAACTTAATAATTTCACACATGCTGGTGAGAGTGACCACAAATACTACACACAATCACTATGAAGTCTTTTAAATCCCTTCAAGCATTTCTGGAATGTGCATCATCTTTAAAAATATCTTGGTCCTTTGCTATTTTATTCTTTTATTGAAATGTCACAGGGCCAGCACTGTGGTGCAGTAGATTAATCCTCTGCCTGCGGCGCTGGCATGCTATATGGGTACCAATTCTAGTCCCGGCAGCTCGTCCTCAGATCCAGCTCCCTGCTATGGCCTGGGAAAGCAGTTGAAGATGCCCCAAGTACTTGGGCTCCTGCACCCACATGGAAGACCCAGAAGAAGCTTCTGGCTCCTGGATTCAGATCAGCACAGTTCCAGCTGTTGCAGCCATTTGGGGAGTAAACCAGTAGATGGAATGTGGGGAGCAACTCGGACTATACTGTTACTGGAATTAAGACTTATTCTATGCATCTGCTCTCCCACAATGTGGTGCTGGGAGAGGAGCGTACAGCTTCTACCCAGCTGCCTCTCACCAACTTGACAAGCTGCAAGAGCCGCTCCTGATTGGAGGAGAGCAGCGCACTCGGCGTGTAGGTAGCAGAGCACGGATTGGTGGAGAGGACTATATAGGAGGAGAGAGACGGCATGGTGGTGTGGGTTGGTTGGAGAGTGCGTTGGAGAGTTCGCGGGGAAGTTCGTTACTTCGTTCTTTCTCATTTCTCTCTACTCATTCTTGCTTTGGGAGTTTGCTGTTTACTTATTCTTACTTTACTATAGAAAGGACTTGTAAAAAAAAGGGAACAACAAGCGTCTGGTCCGGTGCGGCTCCTCCGCGTACGGAGGAGCAGCAAATGGTGCCGTGACTCGGATAGGAAGCCTAGGCAGGGCTTAGTGTCATTCCTCCATGATGAGGGGGAGCGACATAATGGTGCCGTGACTCGAATCGGAAACCTAGGACGGATAGGAAACTTAGGAGGGAAGAAACGGGAAGAAGTGGAAAATACCGGAGAGAGAGACTAGCAAAGAGCCTAGGGAAAAGCCGGACAGAAAAGGTGCCAGAAGAAGCTATCGAAAGCCTAGGCATAGACTCAGATACGGACTGTGGGAAAGAAGTTAGGATTTAAAGTG